TGACTATCCCATCTCTTACCACTCCTACCACCAATGACAGATCACTGCCAGACTGACTCCCTTGCTATTCCCTGAACGCACCAATACCTACTATTGTACTGTTCCCTCTAATTAGAATGCTTATCTATCAGAAATCCAAATGATCCCATTTCTCATTTTATTCAGGTCATTTATTTTTCTTCCTAGTTCTTACCAGTACCTGACACTAAATTAGATTTTTTTATTTGTTTATCATCTATCATTCTCTAGATGATATATAATAGATATATAATAGATATATAACTAAAATATAAGCTCTGTAAAATCAGGAGATTTGTTTATTTAGTTCACACCTATAAGTTGCCTGGTATGTAGCAGATGATTTATAAAAACTATAGAATCAATGAGGGATTGAATGTATTTACCGTATTATCCTGGTACTCTTAGCATAGTTCTTTATAAAACTTACAGTGTCTGACTTCCCCGCAGATTATAAACTCAAAGTCCAGGACTAAGCATTTGTTCTGTCTCTACTCAAGAATCTACCAGATTGTTGCACAGTAGGTACACAAACAATATTCATCATGGAGTAAGTTAATAAATACTTTCACTCTATTTTGTAAGAGAGTGAGGAAATTCTTATGAACAAGAAAAGCTAGGAATGCCAGCTTGATTATGTCACATATGGCAGAAATAAGAGGGAACTCTGCAAGAAAATACCTTGAAGACCTGATTCTTTTTGCTTCTTTTTCAGCATAAAGGTTTCCATCTGCAAGGGAAAGTTTTCTGGAAACAGTAGCTTAGGAAAATACACAACATGAGCTGTCATAATTGCCATGTTTATACTGAGTTCTGGGTTAGCTGGTCTGAAATAGTCCTGGTAAAAATAAACTTTCAATATGCTTTAAGCAATCAGTGTTTCCAATAAGCACTGTCAACATGACCTTTAGTGGTCTCCAAAACTTCTCCTTTACTAAGTATTTAACTGGCTGCTCAAACCCTATGGCTTCCTGTCTGCCTTTCATTTTCCCTCCAGAATTTTAATACTGGAGCAACAACAAAATACACAGGCCATCCTTTGGGAGGATTTCTGACCATAATTTGAAAAGCCTTTGAAATAAGAAAATTGAGATAGGTTAGGGGAAGAATGGCAGTACATATTCCATATTCCCCATATGACAGACAAGTATAAATGAACCTCATGCTCTAACTCCCTAACTCCTTATTCTCTGCTGAACACTCAACTGTAGTCCCTCCCACATTCTCTCTCCTGGAGAAATCTTGGCTTCTACAGTAAACAAGTAGAAATAGTTTTTGATAAAATTATTACCCATACTCCACAATAATGCTAATATTTAAGAGTAATTATAACTCCTATTAAACTGCCTAAGGTCATCCTGAAGTTCTTAAAGCTCTTGTCATATTTTCATACTCATTCTTGGGGCCTTTCTAAAAGAGTATCAATAATAATATAATGAGACATTATTGAGAAGCATACAAATAATGACACAAACATGATATGATGTATAATGAATTTTGTTTTAAGTAACTTTATAGGTAATTTGAAACAAACAATCCATGGTCATATCACAAATGTGTAACTCATCTAGCAGCTGACCTAATCACATACGTACATAAAGAATATTTTGTGGTTGAACACCTAATTTTTTTCTTTTTGTTCAGCTTTATTGAGGTGTAATTGAAAATAAAATTACAATTAAAATGTACATTGTGATGATTAGATATAATACATATATATTGTGAAAGGATTCCCACCAACTAGTTATTTAACACACTCATCACCTTGCATATTTATCTGTTTTTATGGTGAGAACATTTAAGTTCTATTCTCTTAGCAAATCTCAATTATACAATACAGTATTATCAACTATGTCACCATGTCTTACATTAGATCCTGACACCTTATTGATCTTACACTAAAAGTTTGTACCTTTTTACCAACTTCTCCCTCAGCCCCTAGCAACCACTTGGCTACTCTCTATTTCTATAAATCTGACTGTTTAAAAAAAATCCAACATATAGGGGCTGGCCCAGTGGGGTGGTGGTTAAGCTTACATGCTCCACTTTGGCAGCCCAGTTCAGATCTTGGGCACAGGCCTACACACTGCTCATCAAGCCATGCAGTGGTGGCATCCCACATAGAAGAACTGGAACGACTTACAACTAGGAAATACAACTATGAACTGGGGCTTTGGTGGGGAAAAAAAAGGAAGATTGGCAACAGCTGTTAGCTGAGGGCCAGTCTTCCTCACAAAAAAGCATAAAGAAAAAAAATCCAACATGTAAGTGATACCATGCTGGTTTATTTTACTTAGCACAATGCCCTCAAGGTCCATCTATGTGGTCACAAATGCCAGGATTTCTGTATTTTTTGTGGTTGAATAATATTCCACTGTGTATATACACTACATCTTTATCCTTCATCTCTTGATGGGCACTTAGGTTGTTTCAAAGTCTTGGCTATTGTGAATAATGCTGCAATGAACATAGGGGTACATATACCTTTTCAAATTAGTGTTTTCATATTCTTTGGATAAATACCCAGAAGTGGAATAGCAGGATCATATGATAGTTCCATTTTTAATTTCCTGAGAAATCGCCAGACTGTTTCCTGTAGTGGTTGTACCAGTTTACATTTCCACAGTGTACAAGGGTTTCCTTTTTTCCACATCCTTGCCAGCATTTGTTATCTCCTGTTTTTTGATGATAGCCATTCTAACAGGTGATATCTTATTGGGATTTTGATTTGCATTTCCTTAATGATTAGTGATGTTGACATCTTCTCATTTACCTAATGGCCATTTGTATGTCTTCTTTGGAAAGATGTCTATTCAGTTCCTCTGTTCATTTTTTTTTTTTAAGATTTTATGTTTTTTCCTTTTTCTCCCCAAAGCCCCGTGGTACATAGTTGTATATTCTTCATTGTGGGTCATTCTAGCCGTGGTACATGGGATGCTGCCTCAGCGTGGTTTGATGAGCAGTGCCATGTCTGCGCCCATGATTTGAACCAACGAAACACTGGGCCGCCAGCAGCGAAGCGTGCGAACTTAACCACTCGGCCACGGCACCAGCCCCTCCTCTGTTCATTTTTTAATCAAATTGTTTGGTGTTTTTCCTATTGAGTTGTATGAGTTCTTTATACATTTTGGATATTAACCTCTTGTCAGATACATGATTTGCCAATTTTTCTTCCATTCTATCAGCTGCTTTTCGTTTTGTTGGTTTCCTTTATTGTGCAGAAGCTCTTTAGATTAATATAGTCCCACTTGTTTATTTTTGCTTTTGTTGCCTTTGCTTTTGAAGTCAAATCCAAAAAATCACTGCCAAGACTAACGTCAAGGAGCTTATCCCCAATGGTTTCTTCTAGGAGTTTTATGGTTTTAGTCTTACATTAAAATCTTTAATCCATTTTGATTTGAGTTTTGTGTATGGTGTAAGATAGGGGTCCAATTTCATTCTTTTGCATCTGGCTGTCTTGTTTCCCCAGTGCCAGTTACTGAAAAGACTATCCTTTCCCCGTTGTCTATTTTTGGCTCCTTTGTCGTAAATTAATTGACCATATATGTGTGGGTTTATTTCTGGGGTCTCTACTCTGTTCCATTGATCAATGTGTCTGTTTTCATGCCAATACCATACTGTTTTGATTACTATATATAAAATATACATATATATTTGCAATATGATTTGAAATCAGGAAGCATGATGCCTCCAGCTTTGTTCTTCTTTCTCAAGATCACTTTGGCAATTCAGGGTCTTTCACATTCTTTTTCTTATAAAAGCAAAACAGCAGATCATACCACCAATTTTTTTCTTCTCTTACATCCGCTCTCAAGGGAAGGTACCAATAAATAGGGAAAGAGGAAAAAAGGTAGGAAAAAGTAGACACCAGTAAACATAAATAATGATTTCAATTCTACAACTTTACATCTAATTAACATCAACTTCTGGATTTCAAAGGGTGATATAAATTTGTTTCAAAACTAAAATAATCAAATAAAAACAATAATAACAAAAACCCAAAACATACAAGTTGGCCTTTATGTCAGAATCTACCATTTCAGTGTTTAAAATGTTACTCTGTTACTTTTTCTGCTTAATAATTAATTTAAGCTCACATGGCAATATAAAGGAGTTCTTAGGCTCTTTTTTCTGGATTTTTTTTTTATTTGTTTGTTTGTATTTTTTGCTGAGGAAGATTTGCCCTGAGCTAACATCTGTTGCCAATCTTCCTCTGTTTGTTTACTTGAGGAAGCTTATTCCTGAGCTAACATGCATGCCAATCTTCCTCTATTTTGTATGTGGGTCACTGCCACAACATGGCTGACAAGTGGCATAGGTCTGTGCCCGGGATCCGAACCCATGAACCTGGGGCCACCAAAGCAGAGAGCGCTGAACTTCACCACTAGGCCATAGGGCCAACCCCCTCTTAATGTTCTTTTAAATTAAGGCATTTACTCTCCATCACCTCATCTACCATCAATCCTTCCTTTGCTCTATGAGTGTCATTTTCCCCATTTGACCCAACACTGGATCAAAACTAGTGTTGTGGCCATGTGAAATGAATATAAAATTGCCAACGACACAAGGGACAGAAATTCCTTACTAAAAAGTAAGATAAAAACATTGGACAACAGACACAGAAAAGAGAAGACAGCTAATTAAAATTTTTTAATTGATGTTGATTTCAGCTATACCCACTATTATCTAGACCATACTTAAGAACTCCTGACTGTCATGGGGCCAACTGAGAAAACAGCCATTTTCATGTACAAAATATAAGGAAGATTTAGTGGACACAGTTGTAGACTATTTTTTTTAGTTTAAATACCCAAAAATTAGCATTGGCATTTGTTTTTCTAAGGAAATCATAGCTCTTACTCTCAAGAGCATGTTATGAATCACACTACTATGCATCCTGGAGGAATTAAAGCCACCTTAGGTAGGATACCCCAGACTACACACAGCAGAAGCAGTTCTAGAGTACTGTAGGGCCTTCTCACCTTAAAAGTTGTGGTGCCATAGAGCTTGGTGGTGTGGACTGTCTCTGGAAGCACATTAGTGATATTGGTGATGAATTCTTCCAAGTATTTACAAGATTTCTCCAAGTGTGTTGTATTTATAATAATCTGGACAAGCTAGAAAATAATAAGCACATGTAAGAGTCATTTCCCTATTCACCCCAGGATAAATGGCTCAATGTGAATCTGCTGGTACAAGAAAAACAAAAGGCAGGGTAGCAAAAGCCATCTGTATTCTACAAAGGGTATGTTAAAGCGTGGGCTTAGGTATGACTTCCTCTATGAAGCCTTCCCTGACTTCCCAAAGCATCTTGTATTTCCCCCTACTATAGGAGCACTTGCCACTCTATTTTAAATACATGTTTTCTTTTGTTTAAAAAAGACTAGACTAAAAACAAAAACCACTAGTATTTAGCATAGTGCCTGGCAAAAAAAAATTGCCAAATGACTTAAATAAATGAACTCCCACTAAAAGAACAAGAATAATTGAAATGGCAAAAAGAAGTTCCAAAATTAGGCATGATGAAGAGAGAGCTGTTGGAAGAGACTGCAGTATATTAACAAACCACACTAGTTTATGGGGGAAAAAAACATGGGCACTGAAGTCAGAGAAACTAGGGGATTAACATGATCTTGAGAAAGTTTCTTAACTTCTCTAAGCCTGTTTCTTTATCTGTAAAATGTTGACAATAACTTCTAACTCTCAGAGTTACTGTGAGGATTAAATACTCTTTTGTTAATACTATTTCCCTTTTCTTACAAAAGAGATCCTTAAAGAAGACAGTACTGGTATGATAAAAAGTCATCTATAAATTACTTTGAGAGGAGGATAAGTAGGAATAACTATTATTGTCTGTATAGAATTAAAGTTGTTAAGCGCTTCACAATTCATTGTTTATACTGTCTTCCCAGCAACCTGGAGATGTAAGCTAAGTGGGCATAATTATTACTTCATTTTATTTTAACAGAAACAAAAATGGAATGATTTTCTCTAGATCACAGACCCTAAATGGAACCAGGACTCAAATCCAAGTCATCTACCTTCAAATTATGGACTCATCTAAATGACTTCTGACAGTGCCTTTAGCATAAGCACAAGACGACAGCCCTGGAGTGCTGCATGTTTATGTATATTAGGCTGAAATATCAGATTCTGGGTCTGCCATCAACTAGACTTCCCCATGCTTTGATTCTGCTCTATGTAAAAAATTAAACTAAAAAAGGAGTGGTACCTACTGCTTATTTCAACTATGAAAACTATTCATATTCCCCAGAGTCTAAAAGAAATACAAAGAGAAAACAGACTAGAACCTTTTTTTGGTCTCTCTTTTCCACCTCTTTAACTTTTCATTTTCACAAGAATATGCCTGGTAGTGGGGCTGTGGCAGGTGGGGGAGTGCCGGTGTGTAAGGCTATGGAAGAACTTAGGTCTTCCTTTAGTCTAGTGAGGTGGTGAGCCAGGGGAGAGCAGGGAGATGATACAAAGTGGAAACTGGAACTGAACATGAGGGGAGGTACTACACATTTTTAAAATCAAATGATACTTCAAAATAATATTTAAAAGTTGGAATTATACTTCAATAGAAATCACTGTATTATACTGTGGAATATTAAACAAAAATATTAATAGGACTATAATCAGTAAGTTCATTCTTACCTCCTCAACAGCACCCAGCACAAGGCTAAAAGCACAGAGTTTACTCTCAAAAAAGTACATGTCAACTCATAACGACAATTCTTGAGTAACAGACTGGACTAAGAAAAAAGGTCCCTTCTATTCCCCTAAGGTTCAGCCAGAAGAGCCGAAGAAAACAGCTACTTTCGAAACATGATGACAAAGGACAAAGACCCAGAGATGCAGTTCCAACAAACATGAAAGTTAGGGCAACACTGGGACTTGATCTTTGTACTATTCCCCACAACTCATCAGACAAGTTAACATTCATCACTAGGCTCTTCCCATTCATTCCACAGTTTGAATGTGGAGGCTCTGAGGTCTGGACACAGATATTGTCTCCTATAAAATTACCCCAAACATCACAGCCTTTTAACTTTAGAGTGCTCTAGGAAAAAACACCCACCAAAATAAGCAATTCATTACTCTCGTCCTTTCAACACGTTTCTCCCTCAGAGGAGGACTAAAATCATTAAAAAAAAATTTAAATTGTCTAAATTAAATTACTCTTCTTCCTGAGTGGGAAGGTGGCTACTGGCAAGGTTGTCTTGATGTGGAAGTCAGAAAAGTAAGCGAGTTAATTTGGAGAACTGAAGAATTTCTATTTTAAAATGAGCATTACCCATAGGGAACACATTCTATCTATCAAAAGAAATCCTAATAATAAGGAGGAATCGTGTCATGTTATAGAAATAAAAAACAGTGGCAGTCAAAGAGAAAATTGTCCTGTTTTGCAGGATATTGGCAGTTAAAAAAAAAAAAGGAGGCGGCTTCACTGGGTACAGTAGTAATTTCCCATGACTTTTTAAAGATCTGTCAACACAAAAGATCACCATGAACTACATCAGTTGGCTGTCAGTCACTTTTGAAATGTTTCATTGCTGAGCATAGAATAGACTATTAAAACACTCTAGGATTACAGCAGATACCATGTCATTTTCAAAAGGAATATTGTCTGTTAATGAGGTCTGAGTGATCGCTACTCCTGAATGACAGCTAACCAAAATCCTTACAAGGACATTTACAAATGTAAAGCCAGATGCTTTGGGGGTAATTTTGAACTTAAGGATGAAATGAAGCAATTTCAGATATCAACTTCCATCACAGTTTGAGCTCCTTTGATATTTTTAACCCCTACTTCCCACTCTTTTTACAAAAATATATCAGTAGAGCAATCCAAACTGTCCTTAACATTGTTTCAAGGACATGGAACGAACAACAGATTAGATATTGGTTACAGCTCATACAAAGTTCTATGAGGACTGTCCAAAAAAAGAAAACACTATAAAGCAAACAACCACTTCTCACAACTGAATGACACTTAGGTCACTTAGGTTAAAAACCATCAAGCAGCAGAAAATTTTCCTGTCTCTCCTTTCCGGTATCAGAGAGAACCTATGAGGAAGGCACAGACTAGACTGTGGAAGTCACTTCTTCTCCAACCCTGCTCCAAACACCCCAGTGAAGCCTGAACCATGATAACAGGTATATGTTCATATTCTTGACACACTCCAGAAAAGAAAATGTCTTCAGCGTCTTCAACAGTTCAAATTCCAAGAAGAGGTTACTATTCCCAACTATAAACTACTCCTGGGGTATACTTATCCACTTACATTAGAATTGATATTACCTTGTTTCCCAAAACAGAGAATTTAGTACACTGAGGGTCCAAAGGACTAACCAAAGCAAGAAAATCAGAAGTCACACTCCCCTCCAGACCACCAATGCCTCTCAGTTGTTAGATTTACAAGGAGATAAAGAACTAAACAGCAGCCTTGGTTCTCATTTACAAAAATAAGCTATCCCTAAGACTTCAAGGAATTTTATCTCCATTTCACCCCAGCCAGGGTACAAAAAGCTTTGTCAACTACTTATTTTATATCATCTCCATGGCAAATACCTAAAATACTAAAATACATGGAACCACTGGTTCCAAACTCAACGTTCTAGTACAAAGCTTATATTTTACAAGACTTAAGTAAAAAATGTTTTAACATAATATTAGCAATATCACTGCTGTTAACAATAGGGAGTGGAGACAAATGGTATCTGGGACATAAACAACACAGGATACAGCCATGTGGTCATCAAACAAAGGATGAATGCAAAGCACTGGTCATTAATTCAGGTCTCCTGCGACACTAACATTTTTATGATTATAAAAATATAAATAATGAATATGGTATCACTAATAGGAATTCTGAATTTCTTTAACTTTATCCTAAGAACCTACCTACCTACTTTCCTTTTTTCTTTCTTCTCTCTTTCATGAAGTAAGGACTCCTATGTGCCAAGGAATTGGGATACGGCTGTATACAATTACAAATAAGACACAAAAAGTCCCTGGCCTCATGGAGATTATAGTAGACACATATACATATATATGTGGTATAATGTCAGGTGATAATAAGCAATAAGGAATAAAAGTGAGGATAAGGAGTTACCTGGTGATGGTAGGTCAGAGCTATTTTGAGATAGGGTGGTCAAGGAAGGCCTTCTTAGGGACTTAAATAAAGTGAAGGCATAATATTTCTATCATCTATAATAAATTCTTTTTCACCTAATTTATATCGTAGGCCTTTCTATCAATACATTCTTCACAAAGAAGTAGGGTATCCTTTGATTCATCTTAAAACTTTCTTTCAAACTTAAGCAATTCTCTGATATTCTGAGATTAATAAACTTGTTTATTTCCTTTCTCTCCATGATAATGATGTTTTTAAATTAACATAGTGAAAGAGCAAAGGTTTACAACAAAAGAAATCTTATTTCAAACTTACTTCAAATCTTATGTTTAAAAGAAAATGTATTTCAAAACTTATCTCAAATCTTATTTCCAAACTACTGGTTTGGAAATTACTGGTTTCCAAATTACTGGTTGTGTGGCCTTAGGCAAAGTTACTATCATTCATCATCTTAAAATTGAGATGATAACATCAATATCATACCAAAGAAATAATAAATATATTATAAATAACTAAATATAAATACTAATACAAATAATAAAGTATTGAAAGTAATATATACCAAATTCCTGAGAGTTATTAGTGATATGGACTTGCTAATTATATCTCCAGCTAAATATAGCTTAAGGAAATATACGACCCTGCTGGCTAGTCTCACTTTAATTCATATCCACTAGCCAAAGTGGGCACTTAATGCTACGAAATCATCTCATTATCGAGCACGATCCAATTCTCTTTTCCATATGCCCAGAAATACTTTCTCTTTCCTGCAACCCCAATATTTGCTCTCCATCTCCACTTTGAGCTGAAGACACTTCTTTCTCTGGGAAAACTGAGCACTTGGAGCCTGCCACCATAACACATACCCAACCACCACTATCTGCATTCACATACTCTGATTCTCATCTGCTACCAGAGGGGAACTTTCACACTACCTAAAACCAATCCCTTTAATTGCACGTTAGATTCTAAACTGT